TTCATCCCAAGCACATTTAAGTTTCCATGCTTCCTGAATTAATAATTTCCCTCTTATAGTAAGGGGTGACACTAAACCTAGTGGATCAAAACATTTGGAAACTTCAGCAAGCAAAACTCTCTTAGTTAATTTATTGGGCATACTGTAATTATTAGGTTTTAACATTAACAAATCTCTCTCAGTATCCCAATTTTAACCAAATACATTACTACATTTTGGCACTTCATCTCCAGGGTAATTTTTACTTATTTTGTCCTTCAATATACACGAATTACTATTCCATTCTCTCAGAGGCAGATTTGCACTTTGCATTATTTTATTAGCCTCTCCATAAGTCATTAATAGTTCCTCTTCAGTTGACGTCACACCCAGGAAATTGTCCACATAAAATTGTTTGCTCATTACTTTACTCAATGGACTTCCCGTACATTTAAGGTGTGCATTTATCGTCGCTTGAAGTAGGAACGGACTGGATGTAGCACCAAATAATACGCTCCTAAAGCGAAAGGTTTTCAGAGGGCTAAGTGGGTCAATAGGATTCTCAGGCCATAAGAAGCGGGTACAATCCCGGTCAGCCTCTTGTAAACCCACTCTTAGGAAAGCTTTACTTATGTCAGCCATAAAGGCATAATTCTTCATCCTGAAATTTAATAAGATATCTCCTAATTTTTCCCTCAACAACGGACCTGTCATCAAACAATCATTTAAACTAGGTACATTTTTGTTACTCCTGGCACTACAATTAAACACATCCTCAAAGGAGTGGTCTTAGAATCTCTTCACTCCGTGATGTGGCAAATAGTGAACATAAAAATTTGGCTTGCTCGGGAGGTACCTCTTCTATAAAATTTATTAATTAAACTGCTCAGCAATTATATCATTATAGGCAGTTAACAATTTGGTGTCTTACTCAGTTCGCGGAGCTGAGTCTTTAATTGTCATATGCCATCTGTAATTAGTGGGCAATTCTGGAGGTTCAGTCTCCACGAAGTTGTACCAGTATTGTCCAGATTCAAATTTTACATCTTTCAGGTATTGTTCTTGAGTAAAAGAATCGTCTGGACTTTCTTCATTTACATTTATTCCAATGCTGTCTAATTCCCACAATTTATGCACAGGGTCAACACCATCCTTATGAAAGAATTATACTGGGGCACGACTTCATGAGTAAGAACACAGTTATGGTATTTGTAGTTTCTCTAGTCATGAATTATTATTCGAGGAATCCTACCATACATTACATGGCCTCCTGCAGTCTTCAAAAAAGGTGACACCACATTTCTTTACCATACCCTTACAAAGGAGGCATAATAGTCACTACCTATCAAAATATTTATTGGGCCTACAGAATCATCACTTACACCAGAAGGTGCTAAATTCACATTATGTGAAAGTCTTTCTGTAGCTTACTAAGCCCTACTGTAGATTTTTCTCTGGAAGTCTATCTACAATTACTGCATTAACACGTTTTTTCTTCTTGCCTAACCTGACAGTTACATAAACAGTGTGATACAATTGAGCTCTTTTGTCTGAGAAAAACCTGATAATTTTTAAAGTTGTGGGATCTCCCATCTGTACTTTCATACCATCAAGACATTTACGTTTTATGAAAGTACGCATGGGATCCCTGGTCCATAATGCATTTACAATTTTTGATTTATGCCTTTTATCATCAATTTTACCTGTAACACAGGTAAGGTACTTCAGCAAAACCATCATTATTAACATTAGCAGCATTTTTACATTAGTTACTATTGTGTCAGGATTGTCAACATTATCATTATTATGAACATTATCATATAGACTTTACACATGACTATATGGTGTCTTCCTTTGTGGACATTGATAACAGAAGTTTAATTGGGCATAACAATCCTTTACATTGTGATTACCCAAACACCTGATACATCTGTCAAGTTCCTCCAATCTTTCACACTTTATCATTCCATGAATTGTATGCATTGCAATTCTTAGAAAAAATGAGTACCCTTGCAGAAAAGACATCTTTTTTCTTTGACTGGTTGTTATTACTGTGCTACTTTAGGAGGGTACTTATTCTTCTTACTTGTGGAGAATCATTATTTCTGATTCTTGCTACTTGATATGCACCTATGCAACTATTTTTAGGAAATGAATTTTGGTTATTACCATTGGGATAATTTTTCCCTTTGTGAAACTTGACAGATACCTCAGAGTTATTATGTGTTGCATCTTTAAAATGAGTTGGTTGGCTGGTCTGCAACTGCACAATTAATTCTTGTAGACCTAGTCTTATTTCCTCCAGACCAAAATAACCCTTGTGATATTTGTTGGAGATCCATTCAAGTGTTTTATAGTTTAATTTATTCTGTACAATGGCACTCAATAACCAGTCTGATTCCTTCAGATATATTTTATTTACTTATGTTTTAAGAGTGCTCTCCAGTTTAACTCTAAACTGTGTAAAACTTTGTAAGTATGATCTGGAGATTTTAAATTTATAATGATATTCACTGATCCAAACCTACTTTGTTCTATAATTACCATAAGTGACTTTCAACAAGTCAACTGCTTCCTTGTAAGAGTCATTTACATTGGGAAAGGCTTGTATGAGTATGTGAGCATCTCCTCTTACCTGTCCTTTGAGGTAAAATAATTTAGTTACACAGGCTAGGTCACTCCTGTCATGCACAGCTGCTTTAAAAATTGACCAAAATTCCTCCCAGTTTTCTCCAGGATTAAACACAGGTAAACATAGTTCTGGGAGTTTTGGCAAAGACATATTATTTGTTGGAGCAGACTTATTTACTGCCTGGTTTACACATTTTAATTTATTCAAAGCCTGACTGCCTAAAATGATAGTTGTGTGCAATCTCCAACGGCTAATTTGTACATTAATTTTCACACTAATTTGTATGTTACATACACATATAGTATGTGTGGAAAATACTGTATATATTTTCCGTAAATACGGTAATTTATAGGTAAATAGATGGCCTATATTGTATTTAATAAAAATTATATTATGGAAAATGGGAAACTGAGCCTGCGCCTGCGCAGAAGAGGACTCGCCATCTTGTTTGAATTGGATATAACGATTAATAATAGATTGGAAGAATTTTTTTTCGTGCTCTAGAGGTTAAAATTGATTGACACTCTCAAATGAGGAGCGAAATTGTTGTATGTGCATTCCTGCATAACTTGAGATAACAGACACGACTGGACAAGACAGCTGCCTATGAACCTCGGATATTAGCTCTCTAGTTTGTATATAATTCTGGCCTGTGTTTTCATATATTTGTTAGTGAGGTTTTTCTGCGGTATGATACACTTAATATCCAGTCAAATTGTGAGTGATATTAAGATATATTTTCCTTCTGTTATGTAATTGTTATATATTATAACATTTATTATTTTGTAATATACAGTTCCACAAATTTATATATTTACCAGTATTCCTGGTGTATGATATATTTCATTTAATTAATAGCGGTCCAGAGCAACTTGTGGTTATGACAGTGGTAAGTATCAAGGGGGACTTTTGCGACCTAGGTGTCCAAATTCTATTGTCTATGTAACATTGATAAATAATAATATTCTTTGTTATCATTTACTGTTATGTACATAATTAGTTCATTCAGATAAATGCAATTTTCCCATAATGTGTAATTTACATAAATTGCTGTCTTTGTGCTCTGATCCTAATCTTCACTTATTTGCTGAATTTAAAGAATGATAACGACAAAGCCCCCCTTTCTTCGAATATAATATATAAATCGACAAT